GCGCGGCGGCGGCGCGGTCGAGCGCGCCCGCGTGGCGCGCGTGGAGGCGCGTGAAGAGGGCTACGCGCTCAGACGAGCGCAGCAGCTTCCCGGCGTTCGCAACCCTCCGCGCCCCCGCCGCCGCCATAGCCCGCGCGCACGTCCCCACCAGCGCCGGCGGCAGCTCGGGCCCCGCCTGCGCGGCCGCCGCGGCGGCACGGGCCTCAACTGCGGCGGGTTCGAGGGCCTCAGCTTGGACCAGGGCGGGTTCCCTGACGCCCGGGCTGGGGGCGGCGACGCTAGAGCTACGGGCGCGGGCTGGGGTATCCTGCTGCTCCGTCTGCTGCCGCTGGTGCTGCTGCTGCTGCTGCTGCTTGGACGGGCGGCCGCTGCGCTGCTGCTGCTGCTGCTGCTGCTGCTGCTGCTGCTGCTGCTGCTGCTGCTGCTGCTGCTCCCGCTGCTGCTGCACCCCCAAGCTGTGCGCGACGTCTGGAGAGGGGCTCACGCCATCTAGACGTCGAGACGGGTGCAAGCGGCTGGGCGCCCGGGCCTGGCGCGGCGCGCCGCCGCTTGGGTCGGGCGACGGGCTCGGGCTGCGGGCGCCGGCGGACACGCGGCGCACGCTGCCGCCGCGCTTTGCACCGGCGGGCGGCCTGGCCGCCGCTGGCGCCGCGACCCCTGCAACGGCCGCGGCCGCCTCGGCGCTGGAGCCCTCTGCAGGCTGGGTGGGGGCAGGTGATGCGTCCCTGCTGCTGCCTCTGCGGCGCTGGCCAGCCAGCGCCGCAGCCCTGTCCGCCGGCCGTGCCGCACGCTGCAACGCGCCATCCGTTCCTCCTCCCCCGCCGCCACCGCTGCCGCCCCCGCTGCTGCGGCGCGGCCGCTCCCCCAGCGCGGCGCGGATCGCGGCCTGCGTCTCCGCATCCAAACCCTCCAAGCCACCGCCCCTCTGCATCGCCAGCGCCTGCGCGCCCACCTCTGCAACCAGCGGCGCGGGGGGCGCGCCCGCGCCGCTTGCGCCGCCCGCGCCTGCCGCACCGGGCCCGCCAGGCAGCTGCTCTGGCTGCCGACGGCCTTGCCCCGCCTGCGCCGCAGGGTCCCCCCCGCTATCCTGCTGTTCCTGCCGCCTGGCGCCCCATCCTGATGACAAACCCTCCTCCTCCTCCACCACCCTGCGCATCATGCCGCCAACCAGCGCCTCGACCACGTCGTGCCGCCCACCAACGCCGCGCCGATCACCCGCATCACCACTATCGCGGCTGCCGCCGTCTGGGGGCGCCGCCCCCGGCGCGGTCGAGCTTGCGGGCCCTGCGCCGCGGCCGGCTCCGCCTGCTGGCGCGTACTCAATGGGCGAGCAGCCGGGTATGAAGACTGTGGGCTTGGACGATCTCAGGCTCGGCTGTTGCTGCTGCTGCTGCTGCTGCTGCTGCTGCTGCTGCTGCTGCTGCTGCTGCTGCTGCGGCACCGCTGGCGGCTCCGCAGGCTCTGCTGCTGCTTGCCGGCTCAGTTGCTGCCCCGCGCGGCCGTCCGAAACCGGGGCCTGCCTCGCTGGCGCGGGCCCGGGGGCGCCCTGGACAGCATTGCCGCCGCCGCCGCCGCCGCCCGAGCTGCTGGTGCCCTCTCCTGGTAGCTCAAGCGGCGAGCAGCCCGGGATTCGCGCCCGCTGGCCCAGCGGCCGCGCGACGCCCCCGGCCTGTGGGACGGCAGGCGGGGGCGCAGCCCCTCGGTCCGTGCCGTCGCCGCCCCTCGCGCCCCGTGGCCCCGCAGCCACCGCGGCTTGCTGGGGCGGCGCCCCCCGCTGCTCCCGCCGCGGCTGCTGCTCCTGCTCCTCCTCCTGCACCAGCTGCAGCCGCCGCCGCTCCTGCTCCTCCCGCTGCTGAACCCTCAGGCTGGCAAGTTTCTCCAGCTGGAACGGCTGCTGCTGCTGCTTCTGCTGCTGCTTCTGCTGCTGCTCCTGCTGCAGCTGGGGCTGGGGCCACGGCTGGGGCTGGGGCTGCTGCTGGGGCTGGGGCCGCGGCTGGGGCCGGGGCTGCTGCTGGGGCTGGGGCTGCTGTGGTTGCTGTTGCAGCTGGGCGCGATGGGGGTCCTGCTCCCTCGAGGGGCGCGCCTGCTGGGGAAGCTGTCGGGAGGTGGGACTCACGCATCCCGCAGGGCGCGGCGCGACGTCAGGCGGGCGCAGGGGGCCGCGCGGCGGCTGCGCCCCATGAGGCTGGACGGGCTTGACCAGCGGCGCGCGCGGCGCGGCCGCCGCCGCCGCGGCCGGAGTCAGCGACCGCGGCGCCAGCCCGGCCGGCGGGGCGTGCTGGCGCTGCTGCGCGGGCGTCGGCGCGGCCGCTGGCCCTGTGTGCGCCTGCCGCTCTGGTAGCGCGGACTGCGGCGGCTGCGTAGGCCCCTGCGCTTCTGGCTGCTGAGCTGGTGCTGACTGTGCGGAGGATGCAGGTACAAGGTAGCCATACCCTCCCCACCACGGCGCTGACGCCGGCTGCGGGACAGCGGCGCCCCCCGCTGCAGGCCCCGGCGGCTGCCACCGCGAACCCTGCTGCGGCGGCACGGCTACGGGGAGCTGCGGGGGCGCCGGCTGCTGCTGCGCTGAGCGCTGCGCCTGATGCGCGGCCGGGGCGGGCGGGAACGGCGGGGGTGCCGGTGGCGGCGTTGGGGCGGTTGAAGGCAGCATGCGCCACGGCGCCTGCTGTACTGGCCCCTGCTGCACTGGCGGCTGCACCTGTGCCAGCTGCTGTACCAGTCGGGCCGCCGCAGGCTGCCCTGCCCAGCCTGCTCCAAACACGCGCTGCGGCTGCTGCGGGTGCTGCTGCAATGGGCGCTGCTGCGGCGCCGGCGGCTGCTGCTGCTGCTGCTGCTGCTGCTGCTGCTGCTGCTGCTGCTGCTGCTGGTGCTGCTGGTGCTGCTGGTGCTGCTGGTGCTGCGGCTGCGGCTGCGGCTGCGGCTGCGGCTGCGCCTGCGGCTGCGGCTGCGGCTGCGCTGCCCGGCACGGCTGCTCGGGCAGTGGCGCGGCGTGGCCGCGTCGGCCGAGGCCTAGCAAGTCCTTGATCAAGACGCTGGCGCCCTCAACCTCGGAAGGTGCGACGAGGCCGCCGACGTGCACCCGGCCCTCCGCTACCAATCCTCGGATGTCCTCCTTGCTGAGGGTGCGGCCCCCAAAGCCCCCTGCCTCAGCCGCAGATTGGCTGCTGTCGCCGAGCCCGGCGCCGGGCAGCAGCCGCCATAGCGCCGGCGCCACCGCCGCACCACGCACCAGCTCGCGCGCCGCGCGCGGCCGCGCCGCGGCCGCGCGCACGGCGGCGGCGGCGGCGGCGTCGACGGAGGCGATCGCCGCATCGACGTCGATGGGGGGCGCGTCCTCTGAGACAGCCCCATCCGCATCAAACTGCAGCAGGCACTGCCTTCCGGGCCGCAGCTTGGAGCCGCGCCACCTCCTGAGCTGCTCAATTGAGAATGGCCCCCGCACCTCCCCGCCCCCGCCTGCGCGCCACCCCCATCTCTGCGCGCAGCGCGCCTCCGCCGCCGCCCGCCCTGCGGCCGCCGCGAGCGCCCACGCGTGGAG